AATTATAAATATATATATATATACAAAAAGCGCCTCTATTTTTTGGTGTTTATTATAACACAGACAACATATACAGTTATTTTAAACACTTTCAATAGTGTTTAATGAAAATTCAAAGGGTTTTCTTTTAAATGATACCAAATTTTTGCATTTACACCTCTGCATGTGGATTTGGGAAGCTTTTAAATTTGGGTAGGCAAAATCCAGGCTGAAATCCCAAAATAACAGCAGAATTTAACTGGTAAAATGTGAGTTTAACTAGAACACACAATAAGCTGTGTATTAGCTTTAACATATCAAGATACAACTTACAAATCTACTTCTTTATTATTATTATTATTATTATTATTCATTCATTCATTTTATTTTCGGCTTAGTCTTTTTATTAATCAGGAGTTGCCAAAGCGGAATGAATCGCCAACTTATCCAGCATATGATTTACAAAGCCATGGCCTTCCAGCCACAACCCTACACTGGGAAACACTCATACACACTCTTTCATGGACATACACTACGGCCAATTTAGTCTTTTCAGTTCACATTTACCACATGTCTTTGGGCTGTGGGGGAAACCAGAGCACCTGGAGGAAACCCACGCAAACACAGGGAGAACATGCAAACTCCACACAGACATGCCAACTGACCCAGCCAGGACTCGAACCAGTGACTTTCTTGCTGTTAGTATTTTGCCAAAAGTAGCTTAATAGCTTTTTGAATGCTTGTGAAGCACTACAATATTTTTTTCCAGTCCAAATGTTAAAAATAATACTTAATCAAGAAACTATTATTTAGTTTTTTAAACAATCTTTGAAAATGAACTACAGGAGGGCATCATTTCTAAAAGAAAATCTTAAGGTCCATCCCAAATCGCATACGTATGCACTATTCGTATTTTGTAGTGTAAGTAGTGTGTTTACACTGAAAACTCTAAAAATAATAAGTGCACTTTACCCGAATGATGCACTCATTCAATTGGTAAAATTAAGTGTGTAATGATGGACACTTCACGCACTTAACAGTCGCAGCTTTGCTTACATAGCGAAAGGGGCGGAGCTATCAGGCCCACATGTTGGACTACTTAATTTATTTTGGATGGTGAAAGCAAAATTCTCCTACGGGAGTGATTTTACCACTTCCAGATGGTGAATGTGGTTTTACCCATGGCAGGTATTATGTGGTATTACAGTATGGTCATTTATTGCACTAATATGGCAACCGTCAAATGTCATCAGTGAAACGGTTTAATTTTCCACTTAGTAAAATAACTATTACTGTTCAATTTGGCACAACACTACCTACATATACTATGCTGTTGAGTGAGTAAGTGCATAAGTACATAGTGCATAGTGTGTCATTTAGAATGCAGCTTTAGCCTTTAGGTACATTTAAGTAAATGATTTAAACTGTCTGTTCTTCAAAAGTTAGCTAACATACTAAGGATTGCAGTGCTTACGTTAAATCCCACTGTTTTATAATTTGCATGTTTAGACTGTCAGAGTGCTCTAAAAGATTTTACTTGGCTACAATCAATGCAATGCTTTGAAGAAACTCTCTGAATGTACATATGATAATACCAGCTGTTATCCCCCCTGTGAAAAGGCAAAAGTTACATAAGCTGTTGAGTTCTACTTTTAAAACATGGCTTCTCAGTTTTATTTATGCCTTTGAAGTAGTCAAAACCTTAGAATGACTATTCCTGAGTGGGATTGTGGAAAGAGAAATCTGTCTAAATTTTAACCTACCCTTTAAAAACTCTCCTTATTAAGACACTTTTCTTTTTCTGACATTTGTACTATTAGCTGCAGTACAGAGAGCCACTTCTGGCTTATTGAACCCTTGAAGATGTTGTTATATAACCGTTCAAAATGGGGGTGGATGCAATCAAACCATCCTGCCATTTTATCAGACCATTAAGAGTGTCAAATGAAGAGCAAAGGCACTCCTCACACTAACCAGGCATGCAGTACTGTGCCTGAACAAACGAGGTAACTAAGTTACATCCGGGGAAGGATGGTATAAAAATGACAGAAGTGTCATGCTATTACACGCTACAGTGTACATGGTAATGAGATAGTTGTGTGCTGCCATTTAAGACACTGACGGCTGTACACTTAAGAAAACCTCGTCTGACAGGAAGAAGGGGGAAAACATTAAGTCAAATTAAGTCGTTTAAAAGTTTCACAGAAATAAAAATGTACTCAATGGTTTGCGTCAATGCTGATTCTTTGCAGTGACAAAGCTCGTAAAGAACCAGCTGCTGTTCAGGTCAGCACATGGACTCATATTCCTCACAATCCCATCTCACCATTTACAATTCTAACGGCTTCCAGGTCAGTGAACTGGACACTGAAATACATGGCCAGTCTGTTGAATACGGAGACCCATCCGCCAGGCCGCTTAATATGAGAACATCAGGTACAAGATACGCTGGAGAGTCAAGGCTCCCGAGAGAGAGCTGAAGCTGTGAGAGGATGCATAACCTAGATGTGGAGATATTAAAGTAGTTGATGGAGCAATTAAGAGTTGCGACTAATGATCTTCATCAAGGCTGTTCAGTACTTGGGATAGAGAGGAATGTTATCATACTGCTAGAGTTTCCTTATTGTCTTGTATTTTAGATCCTTTTCAAACCATGCAATATATATACTTGTAAAAATTATTCAAAGATGATTTCTTGGATTTACTTTTTTGATTAGGTGGTTGTAAACTAATTAATTGTGCTGAATTTAGACAAACAAATTAAGTTGAACATTACTAAATTTAATTTGTTTTCTTAAATTCAACACATAAAAATCATTTTAATCCTTTTCATTTTTTTCAGTGTACATACAGAATTATTAGCCCCCCTGAAATAATATGTAACAGAGAGATTTTTCCAACACATTTCTAAACATAATAGTTTTAATAACTCATTTCTGATAACTGATTTATTTGATCTTTTCCATGATGACAGCACATTTTATTTTACTAAATATTTTTCAAGACACTTCTATACAGCTTAAAGTGACATTTAAAGGCTTAACTAGGTTCAACTAGGCAGGTTAGAGTGATTAGCCAATTATAACGATGGTTTATTCTGTAGACTATCGGGAAAAATATAGCTTAAAGGGTCTTATAATTTTGACCTTAAAATGTTTTTTTTTTTTTTTTTTTAATAAAACTGCTTTTATTTTAGCTGTAATAAAACAAATAAGACTTTCTCCAGAAGACAAAAATATTATCAGGCATACTGTGAAAATGTCCTTGCTCTATTAAACATCCTTTGGCAAATATAAAAAAAAAAGAAATAAAAATTTAAAGGGGCCAATAATTCTGACTTCAACTGTATATACAAAATATAAATACATACACACATAAACACACACAATAACTATAGGTTTTTGTAAAATGTTAATATTTGTTGTAAAGGTCTGATAAAATATTAAAACATTTGAGCATTTTTGGTCAGAATAAAAAGATTTCAGATTTTTGGACTCTGATTTGTGAAAAATAAAGCAATCGCATTGTGTAGTTAACATGCACCTTTTTTTTTTTTTTGAAAAATATCAATGTTTTATTTTAAATTTGAAAGAAATATTATTATTAATTTAAAACAAAAAAAAGTTTTACTTAAACACATGTCTAGAAAGTTTAAAATTCTCAATTGTTCTCATAAAACATGGCTGTGTGTGTATAAAGGAACTTTTACTGACAAAATCCGACAATTTCATACTTTACTCACTACACATTAAAAAAAACTGCTACACTCCAATAGCCATGTCTCAAATGTTGGCACAAGCTTTTCATTCCTGATTTTTAAGCATTACATTTCCTAGATTTCATTCCTATTAGTGCTGTAAATGAAAGTATCACAGTAAAGATGACAGAAAACAATATCCTTTAATTTCGCTGTCTCGGAACTTTAAAAAAAACAAAGATTCACACAGATTTGAGATCTTCAAATAGCTGAATGACAAGTCTGAGCAATTAGATGAATATTTAAACAAAACATGCAGCAAAATATGTCAAATATACACTTGCATGGCACTGTAGAGCCAAGAGCAGCTTCTAGAGAACATGTGAATGTAAGATGTTGCAACATCCTACATCAGGTAGATAATGAACAATGATGCTCGCCTGACTCCACAATTATTCTCACCTTAAGCAAGCTCTCCACATAATGCCTCTGAAACAGCTACTGAACAAATGCAATGGCAAGGACAGCTGTCAAGTTCTACGACTTTGAATTACCAAAACTTGAAGGTCCACAGTTTTCATCTTCTCTAGATGGGTCTTTCTAAACATGAAACTATTAAGTTCTTAATTGTTACCCATATGCTGTCATACTTGTAGGTTCTGTTTTACATAGCATTTGGCACATGCAATGAATAAAAACGGTTTGTTGCATGCATGTCCGTTTTCGATTTAATGCTACTCTAGCCATACGTGGTCAACATCAAGTGCTAAGAGCTCCTGTAAACCGTAAATAAATCCTTGGCCATTACAGCTCCCAAGTCTGACTCAACCTGACATTCCACTGGCAAATTGCACACCATTTGAACCATATGATCAAAATGTCAATCTAACAGGGAGAGATGTGATTCATAAAATGGCATAAATGTCTTGACCGCACAGAAAATGTTCTGGCACGGTGTACTGTGGTATGTGAGGGTGTGTTTAGCTGATACTCGACCTAATTTGCGCGCGTCAAGTCTTTGGAAGCGCATCGCGGTTATTTGGCGACCCCTAGCGAACGCTGCGTTCATAACTTCAACTTGATTCGCTATCTTGTTAATTACGAGCCCTCTAGTTATTCACACAAAATCAGCATCACTTAAAACGTTTCCTCGGGAATATTATCAACCCAAAGCTGTGAGGTTTAAGTAAGACATCACAGGCAGAAGTGAAAACAGCGCGACGCGCATCAACTTGCCACAAAACTCTTGCACGGTGACAGGATTTTTTGGGGCGTCTAATGCATTCAGCTCTTAGATAGAGATGCCAAAAGGGATATTTATTACCTGCGTGTGACACACCGATTCAGCCACATTTTTCCAGACAACAATTCTGAATCAGTCTTCCTGATATTCGTCCATTTATGCGTTCCAACAAACGTCGACGCTCGAGCGTGATGGTCACCTTAAGTTAGACACCTTACTCCAAACGTTAGCATTCTAATGTTATAAATCCCGAGAAGCAGACAGCTTGAAATAGCTCCACGTCTTTACAGAGCTCTCCAAACGTGGACTGTGCAAAACATTCACGAAAAACAAGGACGCGTCTTGTCCCCTTTTTTAGTTGCTCGCTGTTTCTCCTCAGAAGTGCGCACAGACGTGCAGAGCGACCCAGCGGCAGCGTGGGCAGCTGGACGGTTCACTTGCGTCTCAACAGCCGTCTTCTTTTACATTCACAAGTTCATCTAAAATATACTCCACTGGAAAAAAAAGTCAAGTAGCTGTGGGAACCAGGCGGCAGGGTGACGGCGTCAACATCGCTCGTGCGCTGCGCTCGCGGTCACGGCGCACTTTCTCTACATTGTCATCATGAAACCGAGCGCAGACAAAAACGCAAGATAAAACATCGAGATTTCCGTGGCTTAAAAGCATGTCCTATCGGCCCTAAAAGCTCTACGATAGTTCTCTCAATCTTTCAAGAGACCAAATAAATGTGTGACGCGGGGAAAAAAAATAGAAAAGTGAGAAATAAAACACCACTTCACGGACGCGCGTGATGAGTGGAGCGCGTGAAAGCAACGCTCGTCATTTGGATAGATAGATAGTGTTATCACCACCGCGCGCGCTATCCACCCTCTCTCTCCCTCTCGCTCTCTCTCCCTCTCCCTCTCTCTCTCTTTTCCTCCTCCGTCTGACTAACAACCTGCCAGTCCTGCTTTAGATGACAACCCCGTGACGTCATTTTAAAGTAAAATATGTAACATTTTAGACCTCCTTCCCGCCGTTTCCCTCAGAGGAGTTCATCCGAACCCAATTCTATCCCAATCTCGCCTCCCAGAGATAAATCAGTCCGCGTACGGGCTATGAAAAGCTCAACCAGTGTACAGCACTTTCCACTAAGGGGGAGATCAGTTTCTCATCCCAAGGTTAATACAGTGTCTGGTGGGTTTACTGAGGCAATAGAACCTCATCCTGCAAATTACATGACAGTATAATGCCACATTTTTCCTCCTTGTGAAACAGAGAAACTCTTTTTTTGTTGTTGTTAAGATGATTGATCTTCCACTCTATTTTACAGTATAGGAAGAAGAAAGAGACAGTGGTGGTGTCGAATAATGTTGAATTCTGTTTATTTCTTTAGAACGACTGAAAATGAATAAAAACTGCCTGTAGACTGTCAGCCACCCGCAGGAAATCTCATTAAGCTGGTGCGTTTAAGAGAAGGGTTTTGTGAAAACAACCCTGATGAAGAAAACACACGAAGAAAAAAAACTAAAGCATGTGGAGGTTATGAAGTGTCACAGTTTGCTTTTATTGTGGGACCAAAATGTCCCCAGAAGGATAGTTAAACCCCATCACACATATTGTTGTGACCAGCTAATGATCCCCATGAGAAAAGCGGCTTAATAAACATAATAAATAATGCCTTAATAAAAATCTAAAAATACAAAAAAGGTTTATGTGAAGGTCACACAGGGGTAAAGGAAAGAAAATATCATTAGCTCACATGAAAAACATCAACATAATAGCAGGCTTATGTACGCTTATCACTTTCTACAGGAGATAAGCAAACTTTAAAAGACACATTTTCTAAATATGAGCTTTACAACATCTGCAGCCAAAGCTGTTTTAAATTGTGCCAGTATAAATCGTTTGTGCGTGTGGAAATAGAAAATGAAGAGATAAATAAGCGTCATTAAAGAGCAGTACGGCATATCAAATCCAGCCTTAACTGCAAACGTTAAGCAGATTCCAGCAGCTCAACGTTTTATTGCCATCAAAATCTTACTGGAAATGCATTTTGGAGAAACAACATTTCTTCGGATCTAAAGTACTGTATATATCACTAAAAGGACTTAAGCCTGATATAATGAGCAGAAAACAGATAAATATGCTGTGTAATCTGTAAAAATGGTACATTTGACCATGTTCTACATACAATTAAGTTGCTTTTAAGGTGATACCCTAAAGCAGGAGTTCTCAATCTTGTTCCAATAGTTCCAATGTCCTGCAGATTTTTAGCTCTAACCACAATTAGATACACCTGGGCTAGCTAGTCCAGCTCTTAAACTGCAGTCACACTAGACTTTTCTCCCCATATACTTCCATTTATACATATGCGCATGCGGCAGACCCGAAACGAAAGCTCTTGCGAAAATTTTCGCAGTTCGCTGTGTTGTAAAGTTCAAGCTTGATGAACTCTGACCTGTAAAATTCCATCACATGACCGCGTGAGACCAATCAATGATCAAAACATGACCTCTCTGAACAGAAATTTAAAATATAGACCAGGGGTGGCCAACCCTGTTCCTGGAGAGCCACATTCCTGCAGATTTCAGTTGCAACCCATATCAAACACACCTGCCTGTAATTATCACGTGGTGTTCAGGTCCTAATGAATTGGTTCAGGTGTGTTTGATATGGGTAGCAACTAAAATCTGCAGGAAAGTGGCTCTCCAGGAACAGGGTTGGCCACCCTTGATATAGACCAATCGCTTGCTTTTTGAATGTCTAATTATCTTGTTTAATCCCGCCCCTTTTCGCAGCATCATACTACAGAATTTCGCAAGCTCAAATTCTATTGCAGGGGTGTCCGAAGTCGGTCCTGGAGGGCCGGTGTCCTGCATAGTTTAGCTCCAACTTTCTTCAACACATCTGTCCGGAAGTTTCTAGTACCTAGAAAGAGCTTCATTAGCTGTTTCAGGTGTGTTTAATTGGGGTTGAAACTAAAATATGTCGGACAGCGGCCCTCCAGGGCAGACTTGGACACCCCTACTCTAATGTGACCGCAGCATTACTAGGCTTTGTAGAAACATCTTTGCAGGTGTGTTGAGGCAAGTTAGAGCTAAAATCTGCAAGGACACCGGACCTCCAGGACCAACTTTGAGAACCCCTATAAGGCAAGAACCATTTTAGTTCATGTGATAAGTTCTTAAAGCTACCATTGTTTGTTTTGAGAGAAAATGGAATGGAAAAGTTTACACATCACACACAGTGGCGGTTCTAGTTGAAATGGCACCCTGGGCGATCCACACCCCCTATTTTAATTCAGACAGCATATGTACTGTATGCGAATGCAGCAAACTGGAAACAAAAGCTTGTGTGACAAGTTTCGCAGTTCGCTGTGTTGTAAAGCTTGCTGAACTCTGACCTCTAAAATCCCATCACGTGATTGCGTGAGACCAATCGATGATCAAAACATGACCTCTCTGGACAGAAATGTAAAATTTAGTCCAATCGCTTGCTTTTTAAATGTCTAATCATCTTGTTTAATCCCACCCCTTTTCGCAGCGCCATACTACAGAATTTCACACGCTAAAACTCTAGTGTGACCACAGCATTACTAGGCTTTCTAGAAACATCTTTGCAGGTGTGTTGAGGTTGAGGTGTTGTGATAAGTTCTTAAAACAACCATTGTTTGTTTGTGAGAAAATGGAATTGAAAAGTTTACTCGTTACACACACACCTGGGCGAACCACACCCCTTTCCCTCAAAAAATAAAGGAGACACTATGTGGTTGAATTTTTATTACTCCCATTGAAACACATGCAAAGTCATCAATTATATTGTCATATAACCCATTTAAGTAAACCAAAGACAGGGGCATTGCTAAACACAAAGCTCTACTGGGCAAATAAATAGTAAAGTAAATCGTATCTCAAATCTTTTACTGAGGCACAGTTGTTTTTTACTTGGACATGTTTTTTTTGTTTTGTTTTGTTTTTTTGCACTGTCTTCATGTGCATCACCCATATTGCACATGTGTAAATCCGCCACTGATCACATAGTTCAAAAATTGCTCATATTGAGAGTCTTTAATTTAGTATGTTAGCATGTAAGCATTAGCATTTTCTAAAGAATAAGATCTTAGCAGAAATAACAATTCTTGGAAAACAGTTGTGTGGTTTTGCAGAGTGTGTTATTCATATGGTTGTGGACGTATAGGGCTGGGTATTTACTCACACGGGATTACCGTGTAATCCGTACACTGATGATTTAAACCTCTAAAGTAAAGACCCCTAAATGCTGACTCAAAATAGCATATTGTCAACGACATCGACCACAGAGATTCCAGGTTCAATAACAATTTGGACATGCCGCTAACCTGCCATAATTAGATAACTGTAATTAGTTAAACTTGTCAAGAAACTGCAGGCTTATCTGTCTTGCTTTAATTGAGCTATTACTTCAGCTTCAGACAATTGTATTATCATATGCAAATAAAGGGGAGTTCAGGTTGCATTGTCTTTGGTAATTAGCCACATCACACTGAATTCATTTAGCGGCCTCTGATTTGAAAGACTGAGGGTCAAGACTGAGGGTTAGACTGAGTTAGTGTATATTGTACGGGAGGTCAAGGGTGAAGGCGCCGACAAGGGATTTTTTTGTCATGAATTTTAAGCAGAGGTTATGCTAATGAATTAAAGTTTGGTGGATTGCTAAATCCTTCATTTTATACTTGCAGTACAGATATAGTCTGTTGAAGAAGCTGCAGAATTTTTCAGCCTTCCGTGTTTTATGATGATTACATTTTTCAAAATAGGTCTAAAAAGAGATTGCAGATATTGAATCACTGTTTACTACACTGTCCAAAGGGAGTCCAATGTGATTTATACAAGACAGACATGTTGGTGGGATCAACATCCCATCAATCAGTTTCCTGACCCTAGTCAGACCACCTACATCCACTGACCTCCTGATGCACACTGGAACAGCAGGAGTGTCTTAAAATTATTAACATGGATGTTTGTGCTTGTTTTTATTGTGTAAACAAGTAATGTAATGTGTATTTATATAACGCATTTATTGTGTATGGCCATACGCACAAAGTACTCCACAATCATAAGGGGGTTCTCTTCAGGCCATCACCAGTGTGCTTCATTTACTTGGATGATAGGACACAGCCACAGGACAATGGTGCCAGTGTGCTCACAACACAACAGCTATAGGTTGAGTGGAGAGACAGTGATAGAGCCAGTTCAGTGGCTGGAGATGATTGGGAGGCCAAGATTGGTAGGGGCCAATGGAAGAAGTTTTGCCAGGGTATCGGGGTTACACCCCTACTCTTTCAAGAAGTGCAATGGGATTTTTAATGACCACAGAGAGTAAGGACCTCAGTTTAACATCTCGTCCGAAAGACAGCCTATATGCATGTCTATAACATCATCTTAAACCTAAACCAAACCAGCAATTAAATCATTTCAGTGTTCAAGCTTAATGTTTTCACCTCAATATCACAATTTCTAGGGGTTAAAGCCCTACACTTTTTCAAAGGACATCCTGGGATTTGTAATAACCACAGTGAGTCTGGACCTCGATTTAACGTCACATCTTAAAGACGCCTCTCACTGAGCAGTAAAGAGTCCCCTTCACTTTACTGCGGCAACAAAACCCACACAGACCGCAGGTTGAGCCCCCTGCTGGCCTCACTAACACCCTTTCTGGCAACAACCTAGCTTTTCAATGTGGTCTACCATCCAGGTACTGTCTGGGCACAGTCCTGGGAGACCATGTGAGTGTTACAGAGAGCTAAGTTACTTAATTGTTATCAAAAGATATCAGAAAAAAAAATAAATAAATAAATAAATAAATAAATATATATATATATATATATATATATATATATATATATATATATATATATTTTTTTTTT